TAACCAACTGAGCCTCCCAGGCACCCCTACATATTTTATTTTTAAACATTTCTAAAATACTTTGTCTCCACTGCCATCTCCCTGATTCAAATTACCATAATCTTTTGCCTAGACTAAGAATTAGCAAATATGGCCACATTACGCATTGTCAACTTTTTGTGTAAATACAGTTTGGGGGATGTATTGTTTTTTGTTTTTTGTTTTTTTTAGAGAGAGAGAAATCACACAAAGTGGGGAGATTGGCAGAAGGAGAGAGAGAGAACCCCAAGCAGGCTCCATGCTCAGCATGGACCCTAACACAGGACTGGATCCCATGACCCTGGGATCATGACCTGAGCCAAAATCAAGAGATGGACACTCAACCAACTGAGCCACCCAGGTGCCCCCTAAATACAGTTTTACTGGAACACAGACACATCCATTTGTTTACATGTTGCCTATGACTGCTTTTATGATACAAGAGTAGAATTGAGTGGTTGGGACAAGAGAGGCTTGCAAAGCCAAAACCATTTGGCCCTTTACAGAAAACGTTTGCCAGCCTCTCCCTAGACACCGCATAGCCCCTGCAGTGCGGTGAGCAGGGCCATTAGACTATGACCTCCCTCTGGGTTGCCTGGAGAACAGGCTGGCTGTGGCGAGGATTTCCCCCCTTCTCCTGGGGAAAGGGGCTGCACCCATACTCGGATCCCATGGAACCAGTGTCTTCTTTCCCTAGCAGTGGAGATGGTGACATACCATGGGCAGCTGGCATTCCCAGACAATTTCTATAAAGCATTCACCCCAAATCCAAGCTGCCTGTTGCTCAGCGGCTTGGTTTTGGGGTACATTCCCCCATCGACAAGACTGCTTCTTCACGCTTGCTGCATTAAAAGAGGACTAGCAAGCAGATGGGGCTCCTTAGCGAGACCAAATCATACTCTGGCCCTTGGCTTTCCTCTCCATGAGATGACAGAAGGATGGAGAGTCTGCCTTTTTTCTTGCTGTCCTGGCCCTATACGTTTTTATTTCCCCCAGTAAAGCCCATTACTTAACCCCGGCTATGCAGCTTTGTGGAATTCACCCTGGAGGCTGGTGCACAACATCCAGACGATATCCATCTTGCATGCCAATGGAGACCCCAAAGGACCCACCTAACACAGCGACCTCCTAACTAACCTCCCTGCATCCACATCGACTCTTCCAAGTTGTTCACCCTGCAGCCAGAATAGGTCTTTCTAAACAAACCTGCCCCCTCAATCCAACTTACAATACAACAGTGGCTTCCTGTTGGTCTTTAAAATAAACCAGAATTTTTTACATGGCTTAATAAGACCCAAGTTGATCTGGCCCCTGCCTTTCTCTCCGACCTTATCTCCCACTGTTCTTCCTTCTCTGAACTCTGAGCAAACATCTTCTCAGGCATTTGTAAACATGTTCCTTCCTTCCATGACCTCCTTCCTCTGTCTGAAATGCTAAAATGCTTCCTTTGCCTAATTAACACCTATTCTTTAGTCTCAGTCAGATGTTACTTCCTTGGGGAAACCTTCCTTCAACTGTTAAGCCATGTTCCCAGAGCATCATGAAACTTAGTTGAAATTTTACATTTATAATTATTTGGTTGCTTTTCCCCCCCACCGGACCCTAAGATCTATATGTATCCTTGTGATTACCAGTAGCCTAGGTCACAGTGCCTAGCATAAAATGGCTGCCCAATAAAATTGGTTGAATACATTATTTATTTTATTTTATTATTTTATGTTATTTTATTATTTCATTTTAGAGAGAAGAGCACGAATGGGGGAGAGGGGCAGAGAGAGAGAGAGGCTTCTCACTGAGCAGAGAAGGGCCAATCCCACGATCCTGGGATCATGACGTGAGCCAAAATCAAGAGTCAGACATAACTGACTGAGCGTATAAAGAAGCCAGGCCTTAAAGACCACACATTTTATGATTTTTTTTTTTTCAAATGTTTATTTATTTTGAGAGTGAGAGTGCACAAGTGCATGGGCCGGGGGGGCGGGGGGTGGAGGGGCTGGAAAAGAGAGAGAGAGAGTGAGAGAGAGGGAATCCCAAGCAGGCTCCACAAAATCCCAGTGCAGAGCCCAACCTGGGGCCCAGTCTCATGGACCATGAGGTCATGACCTGAGCTGAAATCAAGTGTCAGACATTTAACTGATTGAGCCACCCATGTGCCCCACTTTTACTTCTATGCAATGCCCAGAAAAGGCAGGTCTATAGGGACAGAATGTAGGTTAGCGGTTGCCTAGGGCTGGAGGTGGGAAGGGAGATTAACTGTAAACCCGAATGAGGGATTTTAGTGAGGTAATCATGTTCTAAAACTACATGACTCAGTAAATATACTAAAAACCATTGTGTTATACATTTAAAATTTTGTGGCATGAAAATTATACCTCATTAAAGGTTAAAAAATAAATACATTAGTTGAATAAATGAAAGACTATAGTTTTTGGAAATGGGGCCTTCATCTTGTAATAAATATGTACCCATGTTTCTTGTGTTGTCTACGACTCACCTGTACCACACGTTATTTTTTTTTTTTTTTACAAATAGTTTATTGTCAAATTAGTTTCTACATAACACCCAGTGCTCATCCCCACAAGTGCCCTCCTCCATGCCCATCCCCCCTCCCCCCCACATCCATCAGTCCTCAGTTTTTGTCAGCATTCAAGAGTCTCTCATGGTTTGCCTCTCTCCCTTTCCCCCACCATTTCTCCCCTTCTTCTCCCCCTTGTTCCTCAGTTAAGTTCCTCCTAATCCTCCTATACGTGCAAACATATGGTATTTGTCCTTCTCTGCCTGACTTATTTCGCTCAGCATAACACCCTCAAGATCCATCCATGTTGCTACACATGGCCAGATTTCATTGTTTCTCATTGCCATGTAGTATTCCATGGTATAGATAAACCACATCTTCTTGATCCATTCATCTGTGGATGGACACTTAGGCTCTTTCCATGTTTTAGCTATTGTGGAGAGTGCTGCTATGAACATTGGGGTACATGTGCTCCTATGCCTCAGCATTTCTGTATCCCTTGG